TTTTTTTTGAGGCAAAGTCTTGCTCTGTCACCCAGGCTGGAGCGCAGTGGTGCAATCTTAGCTCACTCTAACTACTGCCTCCTGGATTCAAGCGATTCTCCTGTCTCGGCCTCCTGAGTAGCTGGGATTACAGGCGTGTGCCACTGCACCTGGCCAATTTTTGTATTTTTAGTAGAGATTGGGTTTCACCATGTTTGCCAGGCTGGCCTTGAACTCTTGACCTCAGGTGATCCACCTGCTTCGGCCTCCCAAAGTGCTGGGATTACAGGTATGAGCCGCCACACCTGGCCCAGTTAAATATTTTTAACTACATTTGTTTTACCATGTCTGCATCTGTAGGTATATCTAGGTCTACCTATATACAGTTTGTTTTGCTGAGCTGTTTAGAATTGGATTGTATACACTGTGACACTTCACGCACCCCTGAAACCTCAACATGAATCTTCTGTGAATGACTTAACTATTAAACCGTGATCACACCTAAGAAGTGTAAATAGTAATTTGTTAATGTCACCTAATATACTATCCATACTCTGATTTATCAAGTTGTACCAAAAAATGTCTCTTAGGGCTATTATTCTCCTCCTTTCAGTCCTAGGTCCAGTTGAGGCTCACAAATTGCATTTACTTATGTCTCTTTAGCCTCTTTTAATTTATAATGAACCCCACTTTATTTCAGTTTTTAGGACATTGATTTTTTTGTTTGTTTTGGATGACTACTGTTAACTTATAGAAGGTCCTACATTCTAGATAGCTGATTATTTTTGTTCAGGTTAAACATTTTTAGTGAGAACACTACATAGGCAATGTTGTGTATTTCCTACTACATCATATCAGGATGTATATAATGTCAGTTTGTTCACTTATTGGTGATTGTAAGTTTATAAGTTTGGGTTAAGATGGTAGCCTGGTGAGGTGGCTCATGCCTGTCATCCCATCATTATGGGGGACAGGAAGATTGCTTGAAGCCAGAGTTTGAGATCAACTTGGGCAACAAAGTGAGACCTAGTCTCAACCAAAGGGATTAAAAAAAAAAAGATGGTGACCTCCAGCCAGATCTTTGCATTGTAAGGATATCTTTCCTTTTTGTAATTTATAACGAATTTGTGAGGTATTTCTATGAGGCTTTCTTTACTCATGGCTTTAGGGTTGATCCTTCCTGAATTTATTGGTATTTGTGGCCATTGGTTTTGTTTGTTCATGAATGTGGCATGTCACTCCACTTAATTTAGGTTGTCTTTTATTTCTTTCTACAGCATACAGGTCATGTATAGTTGACCCCCCCGCCCGCCCTTATCTGTAGTTTTGCTTTCTGCAGTTTTAGTTACCTATGGCCAGTCATGGTCTGAAAATATTAAATGGAAAATTCCAGAAATCAACAATTCCTAAGTTTAAAATCATGTGTCATCCTGAGTAGCATGATGAAATCTTGAGCCTTCCTGGTTCGTCCTGCTCTGCGCCACCTGGGACCTGAACCATTCCTTTGTCCAGTGTATCCATGCTATATATACTACCTGCCTGTTAGTCACTTAGTAGATGTCTAGGTTTTCAGATCAACTGTAGCATTATTGCAGTGCTTATATTCTAGTAACCTTTATTTACTTAATCATGGCCCTACAGCACAAGAGTTGTGATGCTGGCAATTTGGATATGCCAAAGAAAAACTATAAAAATGCTTCCTTTAAGTGAAAAGGTGAAAGTTCTTGACTTAATGAGGAAAGAAAAAAATCATATGCTGAGGCTGTAAAGTTCTACAGTAAGAAGAGAAATTGTCTCTGTGGAATTGTGAAGAAGGAAAAAAAATCATGTTAGTTTTGCTGTCATACCTTACACTACAAAAGTTATGGTCACAGTGCATGATGAATTCTTAGTTAAGATGGAAAAGACATTAAATTTGTGAGTAGTGGAAGATGTGAATAGAAGTGTGTTCCAATTGTTGGCATTGGGTTCAGTACTATTTTTGGATTCAGGCATCCACAGGGAATCCTGAAACCAATCCCTTTTAGATGCAGAGGGCCAACTGTATATACAAATACAATAGTTTTGTATTTTTATCTTGTATCCTACAGTCTTGCTGAACTAACTTAATAGTTCTTGGAGTGTTCTTGAATTTTATCTAGTGTCATGAGGACTGTTGGTCTGTAGTTGTCATTTTTGTGGTATTCCAGTTTTGGTATCAAGGTAATACTTGTTTCATAGAATGACTTGGGAATGTGCCCTCCTCTTTTCTGAAAGAGTTTGTATAAAATTGTTGTTAATGCTGCTTTAAAAATTTGGTAGAATTTTCCAGTGAAACCATCTGGATTTGTAGATTTTTGGGGGAGTTATTAAATTACAAATTCAATTTTTTTGAAAAAAAATTTCTTAACTGAATTTTCATTCAATAGTTCAGTTTTTTTTTTTTTTTTAAATTTTCCTTGGGACTTACCCTTGAATCATGGATTATTCAGAAGAGTATTGTTTAGTTTCTGAGTATTTAGAAAATTTCCTTTTATCTTTCTGTTACTCATTTCTAGTTTGATTTCATTGTGATTAGAGAAAATACTGTGTATCATTTCAGTTCTTTCAAATTTGAGGTTTGTTTTACAGTTCAAGGTACAGTATTTCTTGATACAAGTTCTGTGGTTGCTTCAAAAGTATCTGTGTTGCTTTTTCTGGGTGGTGTGTTCCATAAATTCTGTTGTGATGGTGTTGTTGAGTTCTATATCCTTGCTGATTCTTCGTCTAGTCCTATTAACTGTTGAGAGAAGGGTATTGAGATCTTCAGTTCTATGGCCTACATTGACACTATGAGTGGGTGGCTTGCTGAATAGTGGGGAAAATCCTGACTCCACCTGGCTTCCACTGACACACTCCCATCAGAGAAAAGCAGGGGCACTGCATTTCTCCTTGGTGGAGTTAAAGTGCAGCCTCCCTGCCCAATCTCCAATGACACTGTGGGAAAGTAGGCCTCTCTACAGCTCAGTGGTGATGAAAGTCCTGACTCCCCACTCAGGCTTCTCAGTTGCCTGGTGGGGAGTTTGGGGAACCTTTTATAGCCTGGTGACGGTGGAAGTCTTGATTCTCCACTCTGCCTTTGCTGGTATGGGTGGGGCTGCAGATTTTTCTGTGTGGTGCTTGGCTGGAGTAAGAGGGTTATTGTCTGAAAGTTTTCTGTCCTTTTGGCTTATTGACTAGAGGGCAGGCTCATCTTGGGGCTTTTTGTCTGTACCCATTGGCATTTCTAGGTTTCTGGCTCTCCATATCCAGTCTGGGGTAAATGAGACAACAGATAGTCTGCTGTATGTTTTATATATAATATCAAGGGTTTTTAGATGTACTTAGTAGGAAGAATAGGGATAAAAACATCTTCTCCATCTTCCCAGATGCAGACGTCCATTACCACTGATTTTTGAACTGGAATTCATGTTACCTGCTCTTCTGGAGCTACCTTCCATCTTTTGTAAAATCACCCTAAAAATTATACTGTTTAAGGATTGAACTGATTAGTCCTATTTCTTTTTCCTTTCTTCCTTCTTACTAACTCTACATTTTCCCTTGCGTATCACTCAGCCTCCCTCTTTTCTTTTCTTGCTGGTACCAACATTATACCAAAGACATGAAATTATTCCATAAACACTACTTAGGAAAGTGTATTAATCTGTTCTCATGCTGCTATGAAGAAATATCCAAGACTGGGTAATTTATAAAGAAGAAATTTAATTGACTCACAGTTCCATATGGATGGGTAGGCCTCAGGAAACTTAGAATCATGGCAGAAGGCACCTCTTCACAGGGCAGTAGGAGAGAGAATGAAGCCAAGTGAAGGGGGAAGCCCCTCATAAACCATCAGATCTTGTGAGAACTCACTATCAAGAACAGCATAGGGGAAACTGCCCCCATGATTCAGTTATTTCCACTTGGTCATGCCCTTGACATGTGGGGATTATTACAATTCAAGGTGAGATTTGGGTTGGGGACACAGAGACAAACCATATCAGAAAGATTTCACACTTCCTGAATTATCAGTTTATTAATGATTCTGAAACAGGAGATTTCCCTTGACCCTTTTGTGGGCCTTGAGACAGGTTGCTTCACTTACTCATCCTGTAGCTCTCAACCCCTTGAGGGAAGGTAAGCATGCAGGTGAGCGGGTGCCAGAGTGAGCGCTTTTGGGCTCTGGCTGGAGCAAAACTCTGCAGCCCCATAGCAGCATCTAGTGGGGAATACCCATGACTCCAGCAATCCAGTGAGCATGTTACAGTGCTCTTTTAGCTCTTCCATCAGAGATGGCTTAAGTGTTGACATCTCAGTGGGCCCTTTTTTATCTGCACTCACTCCTGAGCTATTATCTTCTTCAGGAAAAATGAGTTTGCATGAATGAGTTGAAGGATGGTAAATGCGGGGGATTTTATTGCCGGTGAAAGTGGCTCTCAGCGGGAAGGGGAGCTGACAAGGGGACCAGGGTAGGGAAGGTAATTTTCTCTGGAAGTCCAACTGTCTGTGGCTGGATTCTTCTTTGAAGTTACGCCATCAAGCTGTCCTTCTGAAGTCAAGCTACTTCTCTGTGACATCGAGCCGCTTCTTCCTCTATGCTGGCAGAGTTTGGGGTCTTCACAGGTACAGGATGGGGCAGGGCAGGGCCATGGGTGGTTTAGGAAAAGGCAACATTTGAATGGGACAATAGGGATATAAGTTCTCACTTTGGGCGGTGATCTCAGGCTTTTTGGCTTGAGGGTGGGGCTTCGCCAGAGACCCTGCCCTTTTTTGCCTAGAATTTCTCTGCTTCCTGTCCCTGTCAGTTCTTTCACTTACAGGATTATTTGTTACCTAAGTTAAATGTGTGACATAGGTAAGTGTTATTTTTTGTTTTGAGATGGAGTCTTGCCCTCTTACCTAGGCTGGAGTGCAGTGGTGTGATCTCAGCTCATTGCAACATCTGCCTCCCAGGTTCAAGCGATTCTCCTGCCTCAGCCTCCTGAGTAGCTGGGATTACAGGCATGTGCCACCACACCTGGCTAATTTTTTTTAGTAGCGATTGCATTTCACCATGTTAGCCAGGCTGGTTTTGAACTCCTGACCTCAGATGATCTGCCCACCTCAGCTTCCCAAAGTGCTGGGATTATAGACATCAGCCACCGTGCCCAGCCAATAAGTGTTTCTTCGTCTCTTCTGTGGACTGTCTACGTAAGAATCAGCTGATGCTTATTCACATGTATATCCTTGGGGACCACAGACATACTAAATCAGAATATCTGGGGTAGAGCCTAGAAATCTGTATTTTTATGAAATGCCTCAGGTGCCTCTTATGTGTAGTAAGAACCATCATTATGTGAGAACTTAAATGCTTACTGTAAAATAATAACAATATGATAGTGCTTATAAAAACCAACAACCAACTCTAGAAGTTCAGAAACTTGTAAAGGTATGTTGCTTTATATATTGTTAATGACAATGATGTGGAAAGCCATTTTGAATTCTTGGTATGATTTTGAATCTAAAATATGCAGTTGTATCATTATGTAATAATTTTTTCACCATGAGAGGATGTTTAAATCTACTTTAAATTCACTGTAGCAGTAGGCACTTTGTTTAGATTCGAGTATAGTTTACCATATAACTTGACATTTTAATATAAATATCTCTTTGTTTTATTTACAGGTATTAGGGGAATATTCCTACCTCTTAGATAAGGAAACACCAGAGGAAGTTATAGCTAAACTCTACAAGTTACTTATAAATGACTCTGTGTCTTCAGAAACAAAAGCCTGGTTAATTGCTGCTGTGACCAAACTGACACCTCAGGCACACTCTTCTAATACAATTGATAGATTAATCCAGGAATTTACCATATCTTTGGATACTTGTGTGAGACAACATGCATTTGAATTAAAACATTTGCATGAGAATGTGGAACTTATGAGGAGCTTGCTTCCAGTTGACAGGAGTTGTGAAGACTTGGTGGTAAGACATTGGTGTTCTATCTCTTTAAAAATTGTGTCATCATTAAACAGAGTAATTTTGCATTTGTGATGTGTCAGGAATATATCAAAATATGGTTTCTGTAGCATTTAAGTGAAATTTGGAGTTTTTTCTCACATTAGTATGACAGAGAATTTGAGAGCTTCCATTCAGTACTGATTCTAAATAGGAAGAAGAGTGTCTCTTCTGGAGAACTGCAGTGAAGATATTTATATCCTGTGACAGTCTCTTTTAATATAGAATAATTCAAGAATTTCTTTTATTTGTTGACTTTAAAAGACATACATATCTGAAGTACAAATGATACTTTGATACATGCATAGAATGTGTAATACATAAATCAGTGTATTTAGGATATCCATCACCTCAAACATTTATTATTTCTTTGTCTTGAGAACATTTCAAATCTTCTCTTTAGTTATTCTGAGATATACAAGTAATATACAATTATTATTGTAGTCACCCTACTGTGCTATCATATACTAGAACTTAATCCTCTTATCTAGATATGTTAGTAACCATTAACCAACCATTCTTCTTCCATTCCCCTCATCTTTCCCAGCGTCTTTAACCATTCTATTCTCTACCTCCACGAGATGCACATTTTTAACTTCCACATATGCATAAGAACATGTGATATTTGACTGTTCGTGCCATGCTTTTTTTACTTCATAGTGAAGTAAGTCCCATCCATGTTGCTAGAATATTATTTGGCTGAATAATATTCCATTGTGTATATATACCACATTTTCTTTATCCATGTGTCCACTGGTGGATACTTAGGTTGATTCCATATTTTGGCTGTTGTGAATAGTGCTGCAGTGAACATGGGGGTGCAGGTATACCTTTGAAATAATTATTTCCTTTCCATTGGATAAATACCCAATGGTGGGATTGTATGGTAGTTCATTTTTTTTTAAATCTCCATGCTGTTTTCTATAATGGCTATCTTAATTTATATTCCTACTTTCAGTGCATGAGCTTCCTTTTTTTCTGTATCCTTGGCAATATTTATTATTTTTTTATCTATTTGATAATAGCCATTGTAACTGAAATGAGATAATACCTCGCAGTGGTTTTGATTTGCATCTCCCTGATGATTAGTGATGTTGAGCATTTTTTTGTTTACTTGTTGGCCATTTGTATATCTTCTTTTAAGAAATGTCTGTTAATGATCTTTGCTCACTTTTAAATGGGATTATTTGTTTTTTTGCTGTTGAGTTGAATTCCTTACATATTCTGGACGTTAGTCCCTTGTTTGTAAATATTTTTTCCCATTCTACAGATTGTTTCTTCACTCTGTTGAGTGTATCGTTTGTTATGCATACGTTTTTACCTTAATACAGTTCCATTTGTCATTTTTGCCTTTTTTGCCTGTGCTTTTGAAGTCTTAGACATAAATCTTTGCCTTGACGCTTGTCCTCAAGCATTTCCTCTAAGTTTGCTTCTAGTAGTTGTATAGTTTTTGATCTTACATTAAATTATTTAATTGATTATGAGTTTTTTATATGGTGAGAGATAGGGATCTCGTTTCATTATTCTGCATGATGGTACCAAGGCTTTTCAACACTATTTATTGAAGAGGATATCATTTCCCCAATATATATTCTTGGCACTTCTACCAAAAATCAGTCAGTCATAAATACACAGATTTTTTTCTGGATCTCTCTGCTGTTCTGTTGGTTTATATGTCTGTTTTTGTACCAATACCATGCTATTTTGGCTACTACAGCTTTAGTGTATTTTGGAATTAGGTAGTGTGATGCCTCCAGCTTTGTTCTTTTTGCTTAGTATTGCATTGACTATTCAGAGTCTTGTGGGTCTTTACAAATTTTAGGGTGTTTTTTCTATTTCTGTGAAGATTGTCATTGGTATTTTGATAGTGCATTGACTCTGTAGATTGCTTTGAGTAGTATGATCATTTAAACAATATTCTTGTGATCCAAGAGCATGGGATATATTTCCATTTGTCTGTATCCTCTTCATTTTCTTTTATAAGTGTTTTGTGGTTTTCCTTGTGGAGGTCTTCTACCTCCTTGGTTAAATTTATTCCAAGTATTTTTTTTTTTTTTTGAGACAAAGTCTCACTATCACCCAGGCTGGAGTGCGGTAGGGTGATGTCAATTCACTGCAACCTTTGCCTCCTGGGCTCAAGCGATTCACTAGCTGTAGCCTCCCAAGTATCTGGGATGACAGGCACGTACCACACGCCTGGCTAATTTTTGCATTTTTAGTAGAGATGTGGTTTNTCTAGTTTGTTATTGGTGTGTAGAAATGCTACTGATTTTTGTATGTTGATTTTGTATCCTGAATCTTTACTAAATTCTTTTATTAGTTCTAGGAACTTTTTGTTGAAGTCTTTAGGTTTTTCTATATATAAGATCATGTCATCTGCAAAAAGGTACAATTTGACTTCCTCTTTTCCAATTTAGATGCATTTCTTTCTTTTGCCCAATTGCTCTGGCCAGGACTGTGTTGAATAGGAGTGATGAAAGTGGGCATCCTTGCCCTTTTCCAATTCTTACAGGAAGTGCTTTCAGGTTTTCCTTATTCATTGTGATATTGGCTTTGGGTTTGTCATGTATGGGTTTTATGATGTTGAATTATGTTTTTTCTATGCTTAATTTCTTGTGAGTTTTTATCATGATGGGATGTTGGATTCTACCAAATGACTTCTCTTTTATCCATTGAGATGATCATATGGTTTTTGTCCTTCGTTCTGTTGATGTGAAGTGTCACATTTATTGATTTGTGTATGTTGAACTATCCTCGCATTTCTGGGAAGATTCTACTTGATCATAGTGTATTATCTTTTGATGTGTGATTGGATTTAGTTTTCTAGTAAATTCTACTTGATCATAGTGTATTATTTTTTTGATATTTTTTGGATTCAGTTTTCTGGTATTCTGTTGAGAATTTTTCTATCTTTGTTCAACTGGAGTATCGGCTTGTAGTTTGTTGTTGTTTTGTCCCTGTCTAGTTTTGGTATCAGGGTAATGCTGGTGGCCACATAGAATGAGTTAGGAAGAATGTCCTCCTCTTCAATTTTTTTGGACTAGTTTAAGTAGAGTTGGTTAGTTCTTCTTTATATTTGCTAGAATTCAGCAGTAAAGCCATCTGGTAAGCTTTTCGCTGTTGGGAGACTTACTGTTTACTGATTCAATATTGTTGTTCATTCAGGTTTTCTATTTCTTCCTTGTGGAATCTTGATAGTTGTGTCCAGGAATTTATTAATTTCCATCAGGTTTTCCAGTTTTTGTTAGTATACAGTTGTTTATAATAGTCTCTAATAATCATTTGTATTTCTGTGGTAGCCATTGCAATGCCTCCTCTTTTTTTTTTCTGGTTTTACTTATTTGAATCTTTTCTCTTTTTTTCTTTATTAGAATAGCTAGCAGTTTATCAATTTTGTTTATTGTTCAAGATAACCAACTTTTTGTTTTATTGATTTTTTTTGTATCTTATTTTAAGTCTCCATTTTGTTTATTTCTGGTTGGTCTGATCTTCATTATTTATTTCCTTCTACTAATGTTGAATTTGGTTTGTTCATCCTTTCTAGTCCCTTGAGGGGTATCATAAGATTATTTGTTTGAAATCTTTCTACTTTTTTGAAGTTTATAGCTATAAACTTCCCTCTTAGCACTGTTTTTGCTGTATTACATAGGTTTGGGTATGTTGTGTTTGAGGTTCCATTATTAGAGTCAAGAAATTTTTAAATTTCCTTCTTGATTTCTTCACTGACCTGATGGTCACCCAGGAATATGTTGTTTAATTTTCAGATATTTGTTTAGTTTCCACAGTACCTCTTATCATTGATTTCTAGTTTTACTATGTGCAGTTTGAGAATATACTTGCTGGCCGGGCGCGGTGGCTCAAGCCTGTAATCCCAGCACTTTGGGAGGCCGAGGCGGGTGGATCACGAGGTCAAGAGATCGAGACCATCCTGGTCAACATGGTGGAACCCCGTCTCTACTAAAACTACAAAACATTAGCTGGGCATGGTGGTGCGTGCCTGTAATCCCAGCTACTCAGGAGGCTGAGGCAGGAGAATTGCCTGAACCCGGGAG